TATGGATAAGTTTACTGTTATTTCCATTTTCGTTAGATTACGTAAACCTAAAGTGGTATTCTGATTGATTCATTGGCTTAAATTCATGTGTTACAGTAACTGTTGAGGAATTTTGTATGTGGCAGTCCTAAGAACCGACTATTGGCCTGAATATTGGCCTGTGTCGTCTTATGTCATTCGTAAATCTTAAACACAATGCAAGGTAACAGCGATAACGATAGGAATATAACGACATCCCGACTCGGAAAAGAAGCGTAATTTGTCCAAACTAAGCATATCATGTAATTCTTTCACCGTGGTTTAATAATAGAACTCAGAGAGGATCTCACAAGCGATGTACAAACAAATTTTTGTGTATTTTCAAGTTTTTTTCTAAATAAAATAGCCTTTTAATAAACTGTTTGTTTTATCTAGATTTAGCTGACTCACCCTGTAATATATATATACAGGCCATTTTAATCTTTCCACGCTAATAAAAGTTCATTTTAGAGAAAAATATGTCAAACAAAATTTTGTGACTTTGAGAGGGACATAAGATATTATTGGTTTGACCTTGGGTGATCGACAATGTAACTTTCAATTCCTATAACTCGAAAAGTACTTAATGATAATGAAAAAATATTTTATTATAGTGTTTTGAAGCTCTCGAGGTAAGCAACATGAATACGCAATGAAAAATTGGAGGTTCCGTTTAAAAATGACCGTGCCAAGACAACTCACTTAAGATTAAACCAATAATACCATCTTATGTCTCTCTCGAAATCATAAAACTTTTGTCTGAAACATTTTTCGCTAAAATACATCCTATTTGAATTATTAACTTGGAAAGATTAAAATGACCTCTCTCTCTCTCTCTCTCTCTCTCTCTCTCTCTTTCTCTTCCCCCTCTCTCTGTTGTGTCCGTGTCTATGTATGTGTCTATACATATACGTGATAGTGTGTGCGTGTGTACGTGCACGTGCGCACCATTATCATTATACAGGGTATTTGATAATTCCATCGACAATGCTCGTGATAGGTAGAGCGGACTAAACTGAGTCGAAAAATCCTCTACCATTTTGCAATTTTCGCAATAGTTAACATATTTTCGCAATAGTTAAGATATTATTACAAAAAATTAAACAGTGTCGTGACTTATTTCGAACTTATAATTAGAATAACTTTAAATTAATACAATTCATAAATTAATACAATCAGTAAAAAAATTTTTATGCATGAATGTCTGGAGACACTGATAGTTCCTCGGCGCTAAGCTATGCGCAGCGACACTGCCGTTGCTTTACGCGAGCCGGCGAGTTGCGCCAAATTGAGATTATCGGATCTCAATAAGGGTTGAACCGATCAAGTTTTAAGTGTGCTCAATCGATTGCAACTGCTTGGGATATATAATGAAAATGTTTTTATTTTTTTTCTACGTATTCTACAAGCGGAGATATTGCTATGCAAACTACAGTAATCTCGGAACATATCACCAAAATCAATCATAGTTTTAATTGGGAAAATGTTAGTATTTTTGGTTTTGAAAAGAATTATCGCAAAAGAAATATTTCTGAAATACATATTAAAAAACAAAAAAACAATTTAAATTTAATAAAAGATACTAAGTTATTGGACACCTCTTATTAACATACTGATGACGATATACGTGAGCATAAATAGTCAGTTTTGAACAGACTTGTTTTTACATTCGATTTTATTGACTTACTTTTTTTCTGTACTTCTCATTCACACTAATTATATTATTTTAATTCATCTTCTACAGAATATCATAAAGTATTCGTAACAAATGAATTCTCAAATCGAATTTGATACGAGTCTGCGACAAACTGGATTCTCGATTTCAACCGAGGAATTTGGCAAAATTATTTTATCGAGGGACACCATGTAACTGTCTACTGTTGACCGAAGTATTTTAATCTTCTTATTTTATTGTTATCTGTCTTAACATTTTGACGTCCAAATTCTTTATATATTGACACTTCACCATTGATAATTTTTAAAATCTTTTATTGTATTTGTTTTCATTGTATTTATTTGTTAATTTAATATTGTATTTCTGCGTTTTAACACTGAAGAAGGCTTTGTAATCCGAAACGTTTGTTTAGAATATTATATAGTATTTATATTCTTATACTATTTGTATTAATTTTAAGTTATTCTAATTATAAACTTGAAATAAGCCACGACACTGTTTAATTTTTTTTAGAAAATATATGAGCATTATTTTTACTCTAGGATATTATTTACTAAAAATCGTTGAATATTTGTAGCGACACGTGCGCGCGGCGTCGCCCTCAGATATATTTTTCTTATCGAAAGAATAACAAACAATTAATATACGTATATTATGTGTTCTAATGTTCGTTAAATGTTTACAAGTTAAAATAATTAGACCGTCCATGTGAGCGTCACAGACATCCTTTTCACTCGTTCAACTGAACTGCATATTGTTAACATATGCACACATCTTTCTTCTAGCTTTTCGAAATATGAAACTTTGTCGTACCAGACATGCGAGTAATATACCTATGCCATTCAGGATTCTGTAAGCCAAGCAACGATCTGAGGAGTCAGTCTCTTTTTACTCGTCGACGCGAATGCACCACGCTTTCGACTTCTGTCTAACAAAATAAAGTACCAGTGTTAGCACCAACCGAGTCGCCGTTATTACCGGACCACTCCTTACCCACATATTGATTTTCAATAATTTTTTACTCAAATACTATCAGCTCTACGAAAGACAAAAATTGTTTATTTTTTTTCATAAAATTCTGAGAATTTTTTCAGAATTTTTTAATACTTATACGTATTTTCTCATGTTGGTAAAAATAGTTGTCAATAAGAAAATGCGGTACTAAAAATTTTTAAAAAACTCTGAAAAAATTCTTAGAGTCTCTAAATTTCTTAGAGTAAAATATCACTTTTTTGGAGTAAAAAGTCACTCTAAACATTCATGAAAAAATACTCAATCAAAATGGAGCGAAATTTCACTTTTTAAAAGAGTGAAATTGTTTACTCTTCATTTGGATTTATTCTTGAACTCTAAAAAGAGTGACTTTTCTCGGAGAGAGAATGTTTTGTAATCTAATCATAAAGTCGCAGGCATTTTTTGACTTCTTGAAATCTCTAAGCACTTTATCAGTACAGGAGTACAAATATATTAAAGATTGAAGACATGAATTCCGATTTATTACATTTTATTAACGTTTTCAGTAGAAATTAATTTCTTTTATTATTTTAAAGTATCTATATAAAATATCTTAACCTCTGTTCGTATCTTTTTGATTTCTATTTTATGTATGTACAAATGTATAAACTACCTTTGATAGATTCATTCCCGAGTTTATCAAACACTTAACATTGTTCATACACTCAAAACAACTAAACACAATGCTGTTAATAATTGGCAATTATAAACGACACTTGTATGAGAACAAGAACTGAGAAGGCATTAAATATGATTTAGCAAGATTTCTGCACTTTAAGTTGAAGTGAAATTTAGAGCATTAACAATTTTACTTTAAAAATAAGAGTGAAACTTTCCATTTTTTGTCTTAGTGCGAAAAAGTTCACTCTATTAAAGTGAATACTTCCTCCACGTAGAGTGAACTAGTCAGTGACTCCAGATTAGAGTGAAAATTTCACTGCAAAAAATTTAGAGAATATGAGAAAAAAATAAACAATTTTTGTCTGTTGCAGTTTTTTTTTTTGTAAAATGGATAGTATTTGAGAAAAAAAATTATTAAAGAATATTCAGTAATTTTCAATAATTAATATCTTGTTAACTATTGCGAAAATTGCAAAAAGATACAGGACTTTTCGACTCAGTTTAGTCTGTTCTGCCTGTCCACGAGCGGCAGAATTATCAAACATCTTGTATACACAAAGGGAAAAATATTGGATATTTGTGATTATAATTGCATAGAAAGAAACCATTTTTACGGTTATTATTATTACAATATTTGTAATAATAATCTTATATGTGTGCATAGTTAAAATAATTATAAATTTACAGTTGATCCAAGAAATGGATTATAAATTATAGTTAACATATAGTTAATGTAGACTATAAATTATAGTTAAATTATAGTATTTGCAATTATTGTTTCTCTCAATGTACTAATGCATTAATTATACATGATTATAATCAATTATACAGGGTGACTTTTTGACATATTGTTTTTGGGCAGAGCAGACTAAACTAAATTAAGAAGTCCTCTACTATTTTGTAATTTTTGCAATTACTTTTTTAGTTTTCAATAAATAAAATATTTAATCGGCATATAAAACTACTTTAAGATATTTTTAAGAGTTTTTAAAAAAGTTTTTTAAGATATTTCATAAAGAACTCTGAAAGAATTATCAAAGTTGTCTTATGTGTCGACTTTATTTGCTAATATTTAGATTAATTAATATTTCATTAACTATTGCAAAAACTGTAGAAATTTCTATAACTCTGTTTAGGTCGAGTCTATCTGTCTACAAGCGGTGTGTCAAAAAGTTTGAGACACTGTGTAAAAAGTAAGTTATATAAAATTGATAAACCAAACTTTGGTAAAAACTTTAATAAAAAGGTTAAAAAGAATTATAAAAAAGTGTAGAGAATGTAGATATTTCACACATGTGAATGATGTAAATACAATACAACTCTTTGATACTAAGAAAATGTGAATAATATCACGGATTTGACCGTGAAGATGCGGAACTTTCGCGTCAATTCTCGTAAGCCAATAAGAGAGAGATTGAAAGCAGGAGATGGAAAAAGAAGGACGAGATAAGATAGAACGAGAAAGACCAAGAGAGGGGTCAGATGAAATGACAGTGAACGTCTGACATCACTTAAAAGCCCGCTGATGCGTCTTTTCGTAAATGCGAGCTAACTCACAGTTTCGCGAAGTTTGTCGTCAATATCATACATATTTTCTCATCGTGAAGTATTTATATAAATACAAATGTATTATCTAGCATTTTCATAGTCGTACATAAAAATAACTAAAAAACATTTAAAAAAGTATTTGGTAATTTAATTTAGAAGTGAATCGTTATAAGCATGCATGCAATTTTTAGAGGTATGTAAATGAGAATATAAACAGAGAAAGAGTGAGAGAGAGAGAGAGAGAGAGAGAGAGATGTTTTAAATTTAGGAGTATAGATGAAATATAATGTAAAAAATAATGTTTTTGGAATCTTAAAGGTATCATTCTGAGTGGACATAGACTGGACATAACACTTATTGTTAGATTTCTTGATTCTTATCTAAAGAATATTTGACATTTTACCTTAAAAAAATTCTTATTGTTAATAATAATTCTGTATTCCAATGAAATATTCCAAAAATGTAGGCACACATATTGCTTTGAATTTTTTATTAAAATGTTCCCTTATATTAAAGCAAATCAACAAAAAGATCCTAAATGTATGTAATAATTATAATATAATGCCTTTAAAATTCATAAATTAGCTGTTTATATATTAGAATTTATTACATGTACAAAAATATATGTAAACGTTTCGATATAATATTATTTTCAATACAATACCACACCACTATACAACGACAAGATCTTTCTACTTATACTATTGCAATTCTTATTGCATTGCGATCCGTTAATATGTATTTTATTAATATCGTAAATGACTTAAATTTAAGGTTGAAACGTTTACATATATCTTTGTTCAAATAATGTAATAAATTTTAATTAACACACAAACAACTAGTGTATGGTTCTTAAAAGTATTCTGATTCTTATATTAAATTTAAGAATTTTATTTATAAGAAATTTTATATTATTATTAATTATATTTTAAATAAGTTTAAAATTAAAATCACGAATAAATATTTTTACATCTTAATGTTAATATCTAAAAAATCTATAACTTTAATCATATTTTTTAGGAAATCGTTGTTTTAAAAAATTCGAAAGCAATTATTTTGTTTTTAATAAAAAAGATGTTCACCAGAAAATTTTGGATTAATAAAAAAATATTTCAGTATTTATAAATAATGCAAGAAACTTTTTGTCCTTGCGAAACAATTTCTTTATAAGAAAATAATACTATATCAAATTTGATTAATTTCATATTTAAAATTCCAATTTAATTCGACACGCGAGTAGAAGCAATGCCCCAGTTTTTAACTTTTATATAGGAATATTTCGAAAAATATAAAAGATACGAAAGAATGTTTCAGATAAAATTTATATGGTTTAATGGAACATAAATAATGCAAAAATCAATTTAAAAAAATCAAGTTTTCAAAAGTTTGACTATTAAAAAAAATGGAATTATGGTTCATTATATGATTTCTCTAATTATTCTACAATAAAAATAAATAATTAAAATAATATATATCGATAAATTAATAGTTTATGAAATATTTTACATTTTATTCTTCTACATTTTCACACAAAACATAAAGTGTCTTGTAAACTACAAATATGTTTTTTTTATAAAAGTGCCTTAATACTTTTATGGTTTGAAGAATGAAATGAATTAATATAATGAAAAATGTAGTTGCTGTTTAAAAAAGTTATTTTGTAAAGACTATTATGCATATTACAAATTATATCATTTTTGTGACAATTATTTATTTTTTTAAATGACACACTGTATATATGGTTAATAGAGGCTTTCATATGCTCTCGTATATTCATTGGATTTCTGACGCAGCAGGAAATGTAGAAAACGGAGAAGTACGTCACGTATTAGGTTCATGGTATTAAGTTCATTTTATACACTATAATATTTAGTATTAGAATTTTATGTACGTATATATTATTTTAATATTTACGATAGAAGGTATTATTAAAAATCAGATTAAATGTTAATAAATAGTAATACGAATACTCGAACATATAATGTTTTAATTAAATATTAATATGCAACAATATATTAATATATAATAAGATATCTTAATTTACATTTACAATATCATAATATATGTGTTTATATGCTTATGTTGTATTTTATTAATTGAACTCATAGAAATAATAAATACTTCTTATAAATATGTGATAATGAGGTACACACGCGCGCGTACGCACTCACGCACTCATGCATGCACGCACGCACGCACGTTTATTCAAATCCTTTCAAGCATTTTAATGCAAAATTATAGCTCTACCTATAATTTAATGTCGTCTAGTTGTAGAGTATGAGCAGATAATTCAGATAATTTCGTGATTGTATAGAAAAATTTTAACAATATAAAGACTAAAATGTACGAATAAAAAAATTTTATATTTATTTTTTATATTAGTTTATTACATTTACTAAATTTGTTTAATATATTTCTAAATCTACATAAAATTTTATAAATGTAAACATGAAAGTATCATAAATATCGTATAGTGACATAAATTTACGCAAAGTTTATTTGCCTTTTATATTAGATTGTTTAATATGGGCTTTATGCGTGTATGGTGATTATGACGTGCATACTACTACCGCCTGCGCGCTGTAAAGAGATAAACGCTATGGCGAGATCTCATGTGACTCGAGAGAACGAATGAACATGGGTGAATTTAAAACAGTCGTAAGCGTGCTGCGCATACGTGCGCTCGATGTCAGCTGGAAGAACGCAGAAAAATTACCATTATTTTTAAAGGTATGCTACTTTATTCTTTATAGTAAAAAGGAACGAAATTACGCATTTTTAATTACTATTAAGTATAATTTTAATTTTCTTTAGTAATGCAATGTCTGTACTCTAATAATTAATCAATTACTAGATATAAACAATTATAAATGTACGATACAAGAAAAGATAATAAATTTTCAATTGTCTGATAATAAATTAAATAAAAATTAAGCTTGAGTACATATATATTTTTGAATCTCTTCTTATGAACAGATACAGTACATTTTTCTTTTGCTTGAAAATACATTTCTTAACGAAATTTTATTAAAATAGAAATCTTCTATTAGAAGATAGTATTATTAGAATTTAATTTTAATATAATTGCAAAATGTATAATATTTTACGAAAAAGGATATGAATATTAGTAATATCAATATTAGTCATATTATACTCAAATAAAAAATAAATAGAGAGATAATATCTAATTAAATATAATTTAGAATTAATTAAAAATAATAGTAGTTTAATGGAAAATATGATAACAAAGTCAATTAATCAGATATTTTATTTGTTTAAGTAAAACAAGTAAAATAATTAAGGCTCAGAATTTCAAAAAAAATATAAAAGAAAAAAAAATAGCCGTTTATTTTTATATAATACACATAAAATTTGTAAAATTATTTCGAATATTTATATTTCATATATTATATACATATTTATATTTCAAATATAAATATGTGATGTGTAAAAAATGAGATATTTAATTATCAAATGTAATTTCTTATTTATCCAGGAAGGATAAAAGCTCAAAGGTTAAGGAAATCAAGTGCAAAATAAGCAACATTCCTTTTCAAAGATTAAATCGATATTATTACATTTCAACTAATAAGAAAAGAAATAACAAAAAATAAAATAAAGACAAACAATCGATTCAAATTGATTAAGATTGAAAAAAATGTTAACAAGGATAGCGATAAGATATCTACATAAAAATAAATCTCAATAAATGTAAAAAAGAAAGAGTGTGCTATCGAAATGGAAATGAAATAAATTCTTTCCAAGTGATTTTCTTTTTAAAGAAGAAAAAGAAGATGGATGAATCGCCGAAACTCTTTCAACTTCCGGGAACTATCGAGGAAGAGGAAGAAGTGGAACAGCAGAGGAAGACAGAATATCAAACGAAAGAATTGCTAGACAACGCAGCGGAATCTCTTCTTTCAGATCGAAAAAGCGTCTCAACACTTTCCAATTTACCAAGAAATGTCACTCTCATCAGAGTTAGCACTCAGAGTAGCAGTATCACCGGCGGTATTGGTAGACAGGACTCCACCAGGTAAAAATCTATCTGATTTAGATCATCTTTCTTTCTGATGTTTGTTTATCTTTTATTCAGATAATGCAGATTCTATTTATGTTAAAAATATTGAATAAAGTCACGAGTCTATTGCAAAATTATTTATTTTTGACAAAGACTTATGCTAAAACATATGCGTCATTTGTCGATTACGTAAATATTGGCAACTTTGCTCAACAAGTGCTGTCTCTACAGTTTTAAACAGATTAGACAAAAAAATAGAGTGATGTATTTCGATTGTTAAAATGTTTAACTTATACAAATATTACAAAAAGAATTTCATTAGACCGTACATGTGAGTACACAACCAATAGGAAATAAAAATGTCGAAGCCGGATATTAAGTGTTTAAATAATTCGATCTACATTTGTCATCACGAAAATTGCGCGCCGAATTGATTTTTCGTTTTTATATATTTATTTAAACGCAAAACTTGACAAAATTGTAGTACTAATATAATAATTTGATGTTGATAGACATCTTGGAAAGATCTTAATATTGCTGATAAATGTCCGAAAAATCAATCATTTGACGAACAATTTTTATAATGACATATATAGTATCAAATTATTTAAGCACTTAAGATCCAACTTCTATCATTAAATACTTTTATTTTCTATTCGTGTATTCATATGTACCGTTTTACGAGATTTTCTTCGATACTTTTACATACATCATCTGAAAAAGACGTTTTGTTTCTACTGGTTATATTGCAAAAAATATTACTAAGGTTTCGGTAGTCTAAATTAAGTTTGATAAAATTTATAATATGACATATATTTTTATGATAATTTCATTTTCTACTGTACATCTAATATTAATTATTAAGTAATTAGAAACTATATATAAAGAAGTATATACTATATGTTTTACATTCAAGATATTGAGGATAGTCATATTAAGAAATTTTTCTTGTTTGACATTTGTAGCTAAAATTAGAAAATAACATGCAAAAGTTTTATAGCAGGAATTTTGGGGGATTTTCCTATATTGTTTGATAAGAACTAATTTTAATAAGAAACAATTAATATTAGGAAAAAATCAATTTTTAAACAAGTAAATAAAAAATTTAAATTACCATATTTAAAAAATCTTAAAAAATTCTTAAAAATGCTTCAATATACATAGAATATGGTATCATAAAGAAAATTTTGTTGGCTCCATTTGTAAACGAATATTTTTTTCTAAAACAAAGTTGGAATTATTTCAGCCTAATCTCTGTAAAACAAATAAATTTTTATATTAATGCTTCTTTTTACATTGAATTTTTCAAGGTATTATTGCTCAATTTTTTATTAGCAATTGTATAAGAAATATTCTAAAAAAAATTATGTTTATAAAAATTTTATTATATTTTTTAATTTTTACTACAAAAATGTCAAAAAAAAACTTCTTAAAACATCTACTTCAACAATATCATAGACGCAAAGCATATATTACTTATCTTTCTTTACCTTCAATTTTATAAAATATATATAAGTTATAATATGTATACATATATTGTATATGTATTAATAATGCTTTGATGATCTTTTAAACAGAATTTTTTGTTAAATTTTTAAATCTCAAGAAATTCTTTTTTAAGTGGATCCCTGAATCTGTCACGTGAGTGTATGTGTGTGTGTGTGTGTGTGTGTGTGTGTGTGGCCCGCGCGCGCGGGCGTGTATACAGGGTGTCCAGAAAGTTTTTGCCGCTTTTATTAGATAGAGCGGACTAAACTGAGTCAAAAAGTTCTCTACCATTTTGTAATTTTCGTAATAGTTAACAAGACATTAATTATTAAAAATTGCCAAATATTGGTCTTGAATAATTTTTTACTCAAATGCTATTAACTTTACACACACACACACACACGCACGCACGCACGCACGCACGCACGCACGCACGCACGCATAAAACAGAGAATTACCTAAAAAATACGAGGGTCGTTTGAAAAATTTTGAGCCTCAATATAAAGATAGCATTGTATTTTGCAAGGTACCTGTGAAAATTGTAGCCATTTTGAATGCTCAGTTGTTGTTTAAGAGTCATTTGTGTTAGTCGATGTCAGTTTTTGTAAAAATGGAAAAATAATAATAAATAACGGGCACAGTAAGAGTCAACACATTTCTTTGAAATTAACAATTTCATTCTGCGATTTTTTCGTTATGTTAATGTCTGAAGAGGGCTCGATCCGGTAGCCGAAACTTGTAACTTGTAATCATTTTCGTAATTTCGATTCTAATTTTTGCGTTATGTAATTTTACCTCTGTTAATTATAATATATTTTTTTGTTAATTCCAAAGAAAAATGGAAAAAATCGGATAAAATGGAATATCGACGATCACTATAACAAAAATTTACGAATATGCTTCTCCGCATGTGCTCTCTGAAGAGAGAAACTTTTGAGGCGAACATATACACACATGCATAAATGTCGTATCTGTGTGCATGAACACTAGTATGCACTGAAGACAGTTTAAATGTGACAACAGCATGTCTCGCCACTCGGCGTACGAGAATTCCATCAAATTTCAAATTTGGACTAACCTAGTTCAGAAACGGCATCGCTTCCCAGGGGGAAGGTCATTTCCATTTGTTCAGGATCGAAATGACCTTCCATTTAAATAAAGTTTCTATGATATTTTTACATTACATATTTATTTAAAAAAAAATTTGTAAAAGATTTTCGCCGCAAAATATTAAAACGTCGACAAGGCTTGATATAGGAGTTTACGTGTTAAAAATTGAAACTTTGAAAGTGAATATCTCCATTTCGGCACCGATAGGGTCTTTGAAATTTTAGTCATATATAGATAAAATTATTTTAAACATAATATTTAAATTTCAAAAAAATCTGTAGAAACTCAATTTCTTGGAGAAATACCTTAATTACCTACCCGTATTCATCAGATCTGATCCCTAACGACTTTTTCCTGTTTCCTAGGCTCAAAGTTAAGCTCGAAGGATACAAATTTTCATTAATCGAAAACACTGACATCAACTGGCACAAATAACTCTCAAACAACAACTGAGCGTCTAAAATTGTTACAATTTTTACAGATATTTTGTAAAACGATTGTTGTACGATTATAGTACTAGAATAGTTTTGATGAATATCCCATCTTCATGTTGAGGCTCAAAACTTTTCAAACGATCTTCGTATTATATGTGTATGAATATAAAATTTCGTTACGTTACATGTCCAGTATACAACATTGTAACATACATTGTAAAGTACAATGATAATATTTAATGTCTCGCATTATGAATTTAATAAGTAGCGATTGATAAGGATTATAGCAGATAAATGATAAACATATATGGGTAATTCTTTTACAAATCGAACACCTGTCTGATCGACACCTCTTCGATTTGACTGAAACTTTTTTTACGGATTCTATGTCGAAAAAAAAGAGATACGTGTCCGAGGAATTTTTTTTTATTTGCATATTTTCGATAATACAAGTGATCGAACATTTGAGAATGGCAAGTTTTTTGGCTTGGAGACTCATTTTCATAAATCCATAGGTCCGAATCTTTAAGAGCTACAAAATTTTCACCAATTGCACTTTTGTAGCTGAAGGACTGAACTGTAAGAAAAAAATTTTTTTTACAAAAAATACTAACAAATTTATATTGTTATTAACAATTTAATTGTTTAAATCGATTTTTAACAAACGCCCCCAAAACGAATCAAGTTTTTAGTATTTTTATCGCATTCTCCGTCAAATTTTACGTCAAAAACATGTTTTCAAAATATGGTACCTTTTCAATTATTATTGTTAAAATATTAATTTATATAGCGCGTAACGGCCAAAAAAACGGTTTTTTGCTAATAAAACGAAATCTGTAACTCGTATCAAAAAAAGTTAAATGTAAAAGTTGTAGATAATTGACAGATCTACAACTTTTCTCGAAAATTTTTTTTGACATAACCTCAAAATTTTAAATTAAATTGCAAAAAATGTTAAAAATCAGCTTTGTAACAATTATTTCTTGACAATTTGCATAAAAAAAAGTTTATGGGTAATTAATTTCGAATCGAATCTCCTGACATGTTAGAAAACCAATCTTGATTGAAAAAAAATTATTATCAAGCTTTGAAAAAAAAATCTATCCAGTGCGTCATGTAATATCGCCCTGTTGGTTGTATTAGCCACCACTGCCATGAAAGACTTTGATAAATAATAATAGATCACTATGGATTACGGATCTCACTTTAGGCGGACTTCCCCGCGAAATTTTAAAAATATGCAAAAATTAAAAAACCAATATTAAACCAAAAAACCATTGGAGAAATAATTATGAATGCTAAGAAACGAAGTTCCAAAAAATACATAATTTCAAAATATAAAATAAATCCCACATGTCAAAGTTACGCACTGGATGGATTTTTTTTTCAACGCTTCATAATAATTTTTTTTCAATCAAGATTGGTTTTCTAACATGTCAGGAGATTCGATTCGAAATTAATTACCCATAAACTTTTTTTTATGCAAATTGTCAAGAAATAATTGTTACAAAGCTGATTTTTAACATTTTTTGCAATTTAATTTAAAATTTTGAGGTTATGTCAAAAAAAATTTTCGAGAAAAGTTGTAGATCTGTCAATTATCTACAACTTTTACATTTAACTTTTTTTGATACGAGTTACAGATTTCGTTTTATTAGCAAAAAACCGTTTTTTTGGCCGTTACGCGCTATATAAATTAATATTTTAACAATAATAATTGAAAAGGTACCATATTTTGAAAACATGTTTTTGACGTAAAATTTGACGGAGAATGCGATAAAAATACTAAAAACTTGATTCGTTTTGGGGGCGTTTGTTAAAAATCGATTTAAACAATTAAATTGTTAATAACAATATAAATTTGTTAGTATTTTTTGAAAAAAAATTTTTTTCTTACAGTTCAGTCCTTCAGCTACAAAAGTGCAATTGGTGAAAATTTTGTAGCTCTTAAAGATTCGGACCTATGGATTTATGAAAATGAGT